TCTATAAACCGACAGTTGACTTCTGACTTTCAACTACCATGACCCCACTGTATGTCATATTCGCACCTTCTACAGTACTCACCTCACCTTTTTCTAACTTTGTGTCTGTCTCTTTTACATCTTTGAAACATTCTTCTGTTCCCCTCCCATTCTCGACTTTTTTCACTTTGATGTTCCTTTCCCTCTGTGAAGCCTGAAGTCAACTAAAGGGCTAATGAAAACTATCAAAACGCCTGTCATTTGATATAAGTAAATATCCAGTCAAAGTAATCGAAATATTGCAGGATCCCAATGCCAATCGTAAATTAAAGCATTTACACAATAGCACTTAATAGCAACAGACGTCAAGTTCCCCTGGAGGCTGTGAGAAGACTAAGCCTACTTAATTCCTGCTGAGTTGATATGAAAAGTTTCCATAATTCTCCTGCACCAAAACTCTTTTCGAGACCCCGAAGAAATCTGTGACTTGAAGAAAGTCTCGTGGCTTAAAAACTAATCAAACTCACATGCTATCACTAAAACTGGGAAAAAAATTAACAGCAAAAGAACCCGTGTGAATGAAATGTAACGCAACCAATCATAAAAAGAAGTTTGTAGAAAAGTAAGCAATAATTTGGGGGTATTACCGCTGAGATCACTGCTCCCTACAACGAAATCAAGTTCCCAGTATCAAGTTGCCTTGCCTCTCATAAAATGCTTATATAGCAAAACACATTAATATCACTGAAATACTACCTCTAAAGAAGTTTATAAGAAGTAAAGAAAAAGACAAAAGACATTCCAATCTTACTATTTCTCTAATATTAAGAAGAAAAAGATATGCATGGTTTGTCCGAATAGCATAGTACAAAATAATTTTATGAATGAATTATCTATTATATGAATCCTCCAAATCAACGAATCGATTATTTGTAATGGTGTGGAGTAGAAATTCTCAAACGCGATACGCCCCTTCTTTAAATAACTACTTTATTATTTAACCACCAATGATCTCAAAATTGGCGTAAGCACTTCTCAAAGCACCATAGCTATTTCATAAGCAACGGCCAAGTTCGAGAATAATCTGTCAACAATAAATAATGATTAATTAATTAAAATTACACTGGTTATCTCCAATCTACCTACGCCAAGTATTTACTCTTTTTTAGTTAAGGGATAGTTATTTTAGAGCTGACAGCCTCTCTCTGCAGCCTTAGAATTGTATAAGCTGGAATTTAAAGTTGTAATAGTTCTTTCAGCGAAAAAATATTATAAGAGACCGTTCTCTTTGGGCAAGGAGATGCCCCCTTAAAAAAAGTAACAAACATCCTAGAAGCTAACGGGAAAGTTGAAAAATGTGAAGGAAAAAGTAAAAGTAGAGAGAGAGAGAATAGAAATAGGAAGAGAAAAAACTGGGCGTGGATCGAGTGGAATCCAGGAGATGGTATGGGCGATGAATAGGAAGTCTATTGAGTTCGTCAATAAAGAACAGAATATTAATTCGGCATGGAATTACGAGGTAAGATGATTGAATGACATAAGACCTAGCGTGCATGAAAGATTTAGCATGAAATTCATACCTCCATCCCATTACAACACAAACAATCGCTATTAGACAAAAAATATCCTTTTGTGTAAGTAATTGTTTATAATCAGGAGCTTGATAGGATATGTGATCAGGCACAAAAAGAATCTTATATAAACAGTTAATAAAACAGACGCAAACACGACGCCACAATGGTGCCTGAACTTCCGGAGATGGGCGTTAGCCTCCACGCAAAGATCCGATCAAGCATACAAACACTAGCACATGCAGAAGCTAAAGCAAGAGGAGATCTAAGTAGTTTCGCAGTGGAATGATCCTATTCATATTCATACCTTTACTCATAAATTAGATATAAGAATATATCTTATGCCGTACACTGTGCTGGTATCCTGCTGGAATCATGCCTCTTAATCAACTATTAACTTTTGCAGGTGAGCAGAGAATGAAATCAGCCAACTACAATATCGCATCGAAATTCCGACTGTTTTCAAAATTTTGATTGTCTTCGCTCAGTACTGACGCTTCAACCAGTTCCACCTCCTATTCTTTCCACCTTTCTTTTAACATACATTTCCAAGTATCCAATACACGTTTGTCCAACCAAACTTCCAATCTTCTTACTCAAGGAAAGGTTTCATAACCTGATGGCCTTAAAAGGAGGACAATTCTAGGAGATGAATTCCAGCCATGTTAAAATCCTTTTATTTAGCTCCAATTAGCTGATCTTGATTTTCTAAATGACATTGTCAATCATCAGAACAATGAGGATGTGAATCAGGGGTGTGGGATAGACTTACCTCCACGTGGTGCACCCTGGGCAACGAACTCATACGGCAAAAAAGTCTATTAACCGGCAGTTGACTTATCACTTCCATACGGCTACCTCCACGTGGTGCACCCTGGGCAACGTGTACTTACAACCTCCATGTGGTGCACCCTGGGCAACGTATACTTATGCGGAAAAAAGTCTATTGACTGGTAGTTGACTTCTCACTTCAAACTACCATCACCCCACTGTATAGTTGACCACTGACTTCAAACTACCATGACCCCACTGTATGCCTTGACTTCTGACTTCAAACTACCATGACCCCACTGTATGTTACAAAGTATACTCATACGGCAAAAAGTCTATAAACCGGCAGTGGACTTCTGACTTCAAACTACCCTCACCCCACTATATGTCACAACTTCTCACTTCAAACTACCATCACCCCACTGTATGTCATTGTGTATGCGCATACGGCAAAAAAGTCTATAAACCGGCAGTTGATCTAACCCTAACACGGCAAAAAGTCTATAAACCGGCAGTTGACCTCTGACTTCAAACTACCATGACCCCACTGTATGTCATATTTGGGCAACAGACCTCATACGGCAAAAAGTCTATAAACCGCTGGGCAACGTATACTCATACGGCAAAAAAGTCTATTAAAGGCAGTTGACTTCTAACTTCAAACTACCATGACCCCATTGTGGCAGTTGACTTCTCACTTCAAACTACCATCACCCCATTGACGGGCAACGTATACTCATACGGCAAACAAGTCTATAAACCAATGGGCAACGTATACTCAAACGGCATACCTCCACGTGGTGCACCCTGGGCAACGTGTACTTACAACCTCCATGTGGTGCACCCTGGGCAACGTATACTTATGCGGAAAAAAGTCTATTGACTGGTACTTCAAACTGCCAAAGTCTATTAACTGGCAGTTGACTTCTCACTTCAAACTATCATCACTTCACTATATGTCATATTTGACTACTTCCACAGTAATCACCTCACCTTTTTGCTAGCTTTGTGTCTATCTCTTTTACATCTTTGAAACACTTTTCTCTTCCCCCACCCTTCTCTACTTTTTGTCACTTTGATGTTCCTCCTCCCCTCTGTGATGCCCGAAGTCACCTAAAAGGCTAATGATAAGTATTAAAACGCCTGCCATTTAAAATAAATAAATTGATAAATTTTAATCATTTTCAACCCCCTAAGTACTGACTCAGCTGGAACACATGAGAATTTCAATGCTTCATTTTCTAAATCAATATCTCCTACTCAATTCGTTTCTGCTATTTATGACTTCTTGGAAAGGGAATCACTTTTTTGCAATTCGTTCGGTAGGATTCGGCGCTCTTTTTACGCGATTAATTTACAATCACGCGATGAATTTTACCGCCTATCACATTTTCTAATTCAGCATTTAACTTAGAAATGCCAAATTGCAAAATCAATCAGCAAAAACAGTTGATATATTCTCATAGTCAATATGACTTCAAACCTTCTTCCTCAACATTATTAATTTTCAAAAAAAGTTTAAATTTAATTTCATATTATACAAGAAATGCAATAGCAAAGTAGTCTACAAGCAAATGTTTGATTTTTAAACGTTTATATATATAATTTATAAAGTGAATAATTAGCATGTAAATTGACCGTGTTATTCTTCGGAGACAGTTGTAGAGGGAGAAATTGGGAGGAGGAGAGGGGTTGGGAGTTATTAGCGAGGATAGGTGCTATATTTATTAACAGAGTTCCTTCACGCAACAGTGCCGGCGAGAATTGCTACAGGAAGCATTGTGTACGCTGCCTCCTCCAGCATCCTATTTGGCAGAAAAAATGCCAAAATTAAGAAAGTGGTATTTGAGCAAACTACCAGAACACCCCACTGTATGTCATATTCGACCTTTTTTCCTACCTTTGTGTCTGTCTCTTTTGCATCTTTAAATCACTCTTCTGTTCCCTCTCCCCACTATCTCGAATTCTTTTCACTTTGATGTTTCTTCCCCTCTGTGAAGCCTGAAGTCAACTAAAGGGCTAATGATAACTATCATAATGCCTTCCATTTGATATAAATAAATATTTGAGCAAACCGTTTTGTTAATATATGTGACTTATCAGTGAACAAAAAAACCCCAAAAGTCAACCGCCTTGTCGTTTTTCAGGCAACTCAAGATATCCCTCATCAGTACGAGCCTCCGCTTGAATACATGAGAACATGCTTTGAAGTTAAAGAACTATTCGAATACGTCTGAGTGAAAGTTGCTCTAGAGATTGATTCTAATGAGTGAAGATATGAATTCTACAGCGTTTTTGAAATCTTTCACCTACTTACTTAAAACAGACGCCAATTCTGTCAAGATATTTTAGTGGATTTCCATTGGCATTAGTGTGATTGCGCTTAAATATGCCAAAAAATTTCCCGTGTCAAATAAGCAATTTGGCAGCTCTTAAATATTCTCAGTGGATTTCATAATTTTAAGAACTAATTAAATTTTTTAGCCTGAGGAGTCCTCCACAAAGGGTGATTAAGCCTGTTTAACTCATTTGAGGTAATTGGACCACCCTTATTGAATAAAGTAACTTTGATGCATATCCACTTGATTATTAGTGACTTTCATGCTCAAGTGCTTTAATTCTGTCAATTTAAGAGGTTGTAATGATTACTACTTCAAACGTGTTAAATATTAGCCTTTCTGTGATTTTGTGCTCAGTGTTAATGTTTCAAAACCTGAGCAAATTAAAATAAGAAAGGTATTGTACCCTAAAGAGTCTAGTACTTCACAAAACTTACTATATGTGGAAATTAGAATTGATCTTCTGGCAAAAATATAGAATAGGTGCGTGAAGCTGGTAACAGGCGGAAGTGTGGAGATGAGCTAGTTTCTTCGCATCAAGCTTTGAATCAGACCAAGAGGAAGGGGAAAGATGATTGTTGAATTCTTCTCCGCAGAGATGGCGTTCAGTGTTTGTAGGTATCTTAAATGAAGCGCCAGTGGGGAATCCGCTAGAACGTCAGCAGCCGCTTTCAGAGCAGCAGATGAGCGTTTCTCGCCTTCTGCAGCTATGACCTAGATTTATGAAAAGGTAAAGGTTAGTCACATTAATCTATTTAAGAAAATGTTGCTTCTATTTACATTGGAATGCAATGGCGTCTACTCCTAACCTTAAGGTTTATTCCCTGCCTTCCCTCATCAACCTATGCCTTTCATTCCTATCTTTCATTCGACTTTCTTCCAATGTAATGTAAGCCGTTGTTTACTTACTGATTACGAGATGGAAGAGCAATACAAATGTTCCACCCTACCAACTCTCTTTTTTGCCCATCTTGAAATTGATGTGTTTATGAAGATGGGAAAGGCAATAGACTTCAATCAGTTTGGCGTAAGTTAAACTATCAATCTTCTTGACAAACACATCGTATATTAGAAATAGGCAGGGCATTTGAAATAGTTGAAAGTATGAAAAAGAGAGGGAGGAGTGGGGGGGGGGCGAGTTGAATGTACTTTGGCTTGAGCTTCGCGTGTAGCTTCGGCCTCGGCAGCCATGGTCCTCTGTAATTGGAGCGGCAATCGAACGTCCTTCCTAAAATGAACAAATTAAAAAAGGCAATTCTCCTTTCAACTGCCTCCAAGTTCACTGAAAATGTCCTAATTTTTTGGATTGTTTAAGATAGAAATTTGCAGAACAACTGCAGTATTAGAAACTTTTCCTTTGTAGAATGAATGAAAAGTGGTTGTTTAACATTAGATATATATATATATATATTACTATCCTGGGGTGGGCGATAGACTTACCTCCACGTGGTGCACCCTGAGCAACGTATACTCATACGGCAAAAAATGTCTTTAAACCAACAGTTGACTTCAAAATCTGCCATCACCCCTCTGTATGTCATATTCGATTACTTCCACAGTACTCACCTCACCTTTTTCTACCTTTGTATCTGTCTCTTTTACATCTTTGAAACACTCTTCTGTTCCTCCCCCCCCCCACTCCCCCTCTCGAATTTTTCTCACTTTGATGTTCTTCTCCCTCTAAGAAGCCCGATGTCAAGTAAAGGGCCAATGATAACTATCAAAATGCCTGCCATTTTATATTTATGCATCTTGCTATCCTCTTTAGCATACCTGGAAAAATTAATCTAGGACGAGCCGTTTTAACTCATCT